ACAGTAACTACATCTCAACTTCAAATTTTGGGACAATTTTGACTTTTTGTGCTATATTTCTTCAATTATTTTTGTTTCGTTGAATTTTTCCGACAAGTCCAAATTTGAACTGCAGGTACATGAAATAATGAATTTGGTCATTCCAAAAATAGTAGTAATGATGTTCGGCGTATGTTGAGGCCGTATCCAGGACCTCGCATGAAGTTACGACCATGTTAGTGTCGTAACATGACGAGTTACCTGCGAAAAAGTGTTTTTAAATTATATAAAATCCAAATAAAGTCCGAAAATGACGAAACTTGTCGAGGTGTGTTGTCATCGCATGTGGAGGCTATGGTAAAAAATTGAGAAAGTTTCGAGCAAATTGTGACATCGGATGCCTAAAACCCAGACATCTCCACATGTGATCTCAAATGAGGTGGGATCATCCCCCATCAGTAATAGCTGATCTTCTTATTCTTTGAGACCTTCTAGGTGCCTCCGGCACTTGTTCCACATTGGGCTGTTGTTGTTCTTACTCATGTGCAACATTTGGTTCTATAGGTTCCTCAAGCATAGGTTCCTCAAGGACAAGTTCCTCATGTTCATTCATTGTCGCCATGGGGGAACTTGCAACGGGTGTTGGCACTATAGTGTCCTGCACTGTCGGTGCAACAGCAGCAGGTAGCGTGAAGAATGGTTCTTCAATCATCGGAGTGGGTACATGTACTCGCTTCTCCTGTAGGCTGATTTCTCGTGCTACCATGCTCCCCCTGATCATGTTATCCTCCAAAAACACAGCGTGTCTTGTTTCTACAATCTTTGTATGTCTGTCAGGACAATAGAAGCGATATCCTTTCGATCTTTCTGGATAGCCAATAAAATGGCAGCGGACTGTCTTGGAGTCTAACTTTCCTATGTTTGGGTTAAACACTTTTGCCTCAGCCGGACAGCCCCACACACGTAAATGGTTAAGTGAGGGTTCCCTTCCTGTCCATAATTCATACGGTGTTTTAGGCACCGATTTACTTGGTACTCGATTAAGTATGTGAATGGCGGTTTTCAGTGCCTCCATCCATAAACTAATCGGTAATGTGGAGTAACTCATCATGCTTCTTACCATATCCATTAAGGTACGGTTACGTCTTTCAGCCACTCTATTCTGCTGAGGCTCCCCCGGTGTGGAGTACTGAGCAACTATGCCATTTTCCTGTAGGAACCTTGCAAATGGTCAAGGAATTTGGCCATATGGGGTATGTCGCCCATAGTACTCTCCACCTCGGTCTGATCGTACTATCTTGATTTTCTTATTGTGCTGATTTTCAACTTCAGCTTTAAATATTTTGAATTTATCCAATGCTTTCGATCTTTCTTTAATTGGATAAATATTGACATAACGAGAGTAGTCGTCTGTGAATATTATAAACGAGTCATAACCATCCATACTTTTCACAGGAAAAAGACCACATATGTCTGTGTGGATTATTTCTAAAATTCCTATGCTTCGTTTGGCATATTTCTTAATTTTCTTGACATACTTTCCTTTGATGCAATCAATACATTGTTCTAAATCTGAAAATTCTAAGTGCAGGAGAATTGATTCCTTAACCAATCGTTCCATTCTCCCCCTCGAAATATGGCCTAAGCGACAATGCCATAATTTCGAAGAGACAATATCAATTCTCTTCCGCTTCTTAGTTACATCCGCAGATGGGGAATCATTCACATTCTCATCGCATACATTGTTTGCATTCTCAGCAAGAGATAATAAATAAAGCTTGTCTTGTCGAAAGGCAAGACCAACACATTTATTATTAACCAGTATCTTACACTTGCCATCACCAAAATGACAATCAATTCTATCATCATCAAGTTTCGAAACACTTATCAAATTTCTATGCAAAGAGGGAACATAAAGTACTTCTTTAAGTCTAAGTACAAAACCATTATTCAATTCTAAAGAAAAAACTCCAATGGCTTCAACATTGGCTTGCACTCCATTTGCAACTTTAATCGTTCTTTCTCCTCTTTGCAAAGTTCTCGTCCCACTTAACCCCTGTAAGGAATTTGCAACATGAGTAGTTGCACCTGAATCAACCCACCAAGTGGATTTATCATAACATAAATATAGGGATTCATCTACAAATGTAATAAATTCATTACCTTTCTTTAGCAGAGATTTCAGGAAGTCTGGACAATCCCTCTTGTAGTGTCCCTTCTTGAAGCAGTGCTTGCACTGATCCTTTTCAGCTCCACCATACTGCTGATTCTCAGAATCCTGGGGTTTCTTTCCCTGTGAATTGGAGGAAGAGGCCTTATCCCACTTAGGTTTCCCTTATGGTTTAGAATTCTTGCCATTAAAGTTCTTTCTTTTGTTATCCTTCACAAAATGAGCGAATTCACCTTGTGAGGACTTTATCCTCTCCTCTTCTTGAGCACACATTGAGATGAGTCTTTCTATGCCTCATCTTTTAGGCTGCATATTGTAGTTCACAATGAAGGTGTCATATTCTTTTGGCAAAGAAGCAAAAATCAAATAAATCAGGAAATCCTCCTCCTTCAAATTCATTTCTTTTAGCTTAGATGTCGTAGTGTTCGTCTTCAAAATGTGCTCTCTTATGCTACCACCAGTGAATTTCTCATTCACAAGCTTCTTAATCAGTGAACTTGCTGTGGCCTTGGTAGACCCAGTAAACTGACTCTCGATTTTCTCAAGATATTCTTTGGCAGTAGCACATTCAGGGATTGAGCCCCTTATCTGTTCTTCTATGGTGGCTTTGGCCACCAACAAGCACTTGCGGTTGGAGAGAGTCCATTGCCTATGTTCAAGGTCATATTTCATTCGTATTTCAGCATGATCACGCTTTCGAGCAGCGAAATCAGCGTCAGATTCATTTTCACCTCTCACCGGGTCCTCTGGCTCAGTAGGACATGGTGAGGTGATGGCAAAATCGACCTCTCCCAACGCAAGTTCCAATTCATACTTCTCCCGCCACACACGGTGATTGGTCCCATTGAGTGTCGGGATGTTGGCAATGTTCACAATGCATTTGCCTCCTGAAATCACACCAGAGTAAGTAAGAAACATTTATACATAAAATTACATGCTTTAACTCAACGTTGGTCAAATTAAAACTTATAATTCATCCATGTAAACATTTTTACATCACCGTTGGGCAGAAGTAAAATTAATACATAATTTCTCATGGATCAAAATTATAATATTGTTATTAACAACGTTGGTCAGAAAATAACAATATCATAATCGCATCAAAATTATCAAAAATTAATTTCTCTTAAAATTAAATTATCCCGTTGGCTCAAATTTAATCAAAGAGAACAATAATTATCATGCACAGCGAAAACATTAATAATCTTTTCATATTATTATTTTCCAGAATCACTAAAAAATTTACTGTTTTCTGAGCAAAATATCGTTGGATAAAATTTGCACAGAAAATTGTATCAAAATCATTCAAATTCATCAAAAAATATGCATTAAAATTGATCCTGGAAAATAATAAGAAATTTTTTTTCTTCCTTCTTTCATTTAAGCCCAGCGTGGCCCAAGATGGCAAAAAACAATTCGGCTTAGTCCTCCTTGCGCGCAGCAGGCCGCAACCTGGGCCTGGGCCAGTAAAGTGCCTCGGCAGCGCGCTCCCGCCTGGGCCTCGAGTTGGCCCATCGAATCTTGACCGTTCGTCTTGATCCGACGGCCAAGCGTTCGTTTCGCCCGATCAAAAACATCGCCGCGGCCGGTGGCCTGGAAACCCTAGCGCATTCGCCCCTGCTCTCTCTCTCTCTCTTCTTCTTCTTCTTCGCACTCTCTCTTCTCTCTTCAGTGCAGCGCAGCCGCAACCGAGAGCGAGCGACGATGAGCAAGCGGGCGGTGGAGCGAGCCTCGGCGCCATCGCCGGCCCCCTCACCGGCGCACGTGCTCCCCAACGGGTGAGCACGCCGCCGTCGAGCGGCCTGGCCGTGGCGCCCCTTGGCCGAGCCCAGCGAGCAGCGAGCCGAATCGGCTCTTCTTCTCTCGCGCCGGCGAAGAGCCGGTTCGGCTCTTCTTCTCCCGCGCCGGCGACGATGAGTCCGCCCCCTTTTTACCTTCTTCCCTGTCCTTTCTCTCTTCTGGGATTAACCCATGGTGGGGATGGGGAAAAATTAGGGTTAGGGTTCGAATTTTGCCGATTTGGTTTTCTATATTTTTTGGATTTCTTTTCTTTTTCGTTCATCTGAATGGGAAACTAGGGTTAGGGTTAGGGTTTCGACCCTTCTTTCTTTCTTCTTCCCCTTCTTCCCTCTTTCAGATTTGGGTCTAGGGTTTGCTCTTATCCGAAAGGATTTAGGTCTAGGGTTCTTGTTTCTATTTTCTTTTCCCGATCCGGTTTCTTCTTGGAACCTAGCTCCGGTACCATTGTTGGCTCTTCTCTTAGTCATATTCATCAGATCAGGATATTTTGCATAGGAATAGAATACATGTTCAAGATTTACATGAGAGGCAGAGAGAAGGGGAGTGAGAGGTAGCAGACCATCGAAGGCCGTAGTGGTCGAAGCACCGGCCGAGGTCTCGTTTGCGGACGCCATCTGCGCGCCGGCAGCGATGTTCGGTGGAGAGGGAGAGTCAGTGCAGTGGCGTACTCGGCGGCGGCGTGTGCGTCGGGATGGCGTTGCCGACGTCGGTGGTGCTTCCCGTCGCTGGCAGCGCCCCTTCTCAAGATCGGGTTAGGGTTAGGATGTCGATGGGGTGACTGGCGGCGCGGTGAACCTCGTACTGCGAGCCCCGGCCCCCACCTTTTCTTTATAGCGCTGTGCGACGGGGGGCCACCAACCATGTAGGGTTGGACGCCCCCGATCAGGGCACGAGAACAAGGCCAAAAAGGCCGTTGGGCCTAACTGGTGGGAGATCAATCCTAACAGAGGGTTCCAGGCATTGATCATCCACAAACCAAAAACCAAACCAAACCGCAAGCTGTAGATTTGATTTCAGCCGGCCATCTACCTTAGCACCAACACCGGCAAACATGTCGTCGGTACCGCCGCTGCTGTCTGCCCCTGGCGTCGGCAAGCCGTCGCGCTCCGCCTCGGCCGTGGTCGCCAAGGCGACGAGGGGCTTCTAGGTGTTCCGCATCGACGGCTACTCGTGGACCAAGGCGCTCCCGGGCGGCGAGCGCATCACACCTCGGAGCAGTTCAACGTCGGCGGCCGCTTTTGGCACATTGACTACTACCCCAACGGCACCGACGGCTCCTCCAGCGACTCCGACGGCTCCATCGACCTGTACCTCCGTCTCCAGAACACGTACAAAGTGGAGCGCGTGTGGGCGCAGTACAAGTTCAGCCTCCTGGACCTCGCCGGGAATGACTCCTACGAGCTCCCCCTCGAGACTGGCATCTTCAGGTCCACCGGCCACAACAACCGCGGCGAGGTGTCCCCGGAGGACCCTGGGTGCGGCTACGCGGGCTTCATCACCAAGGAGGACCTGGAGAAGCGGCGCGACAGCCTCCTCAAGGAGGACTGCCTCGCCATCCGATGCGACGTCGGCGTCACGGAGGTGACGACCATGGCCGTGGGGCCAAAGAACGGGAGGCCGGCGAGTACCAGAAACTACGGCGGCTATGTCTACCCTGACGGCGCCGAGTCTCCCGACGAGGAGGATGACGGCGGCTCGCATGAGGGCAAGCGTGGTGAGCCGGATGACAAGGAGTACATCCGCCGCTGCCTCTCTGCCCAACGCCGAAAGTAGATGCAATCGAATTGGGAAAAAGTCTACTTAACCCCCCACCTTTCATACATGGTCTACTTCACCCCCAAACTATGAAACCGTCTGTTTTACCCCATGAACTTTCCAAAACCGTCTATTTTACCCCCGGGCGGTTTTTGACAGCGGTTTTTGCTACAGCAACAACGTGGTTGCTACAGTAACGTTGGGTTGCTACAGTGCCGATGTGTTTGAATTTTCTTTTTTTTTATTTATTTTCGGTGAATTTTTGAAAAATCATAGTAAATCATAGAAAAATCATAAAAAGAAAAATCTAATTTTATTGGACTCCACATGAGTAGATCTACACAGTGAATATATAATACGGTATGCTTTAGTACAAAATTTTTACTGTAGCCTTAGATTAATTGGAAAATCTAATTTTGTCTGTAATTAATTGGAATAATTCATAGCTGTAGCTTCTATGGTCCAATTGCGGTGAAATTTTTATGGTACGCTAATTATTGTATGCTTGAACTATAGTAAAAATTTCGTACTCATTGGACTATGTATAACTTAGTTATAGAGAAATTCTAAATAATTACAGAAAAAATTGGATTTCCCAATTAATCTAAAGCTACAAAAAAAATTGTACTAAAGCATACCGTATTATATATTCACTGTGTAGATCTACTCATGTGGAGTCCAATAAAATTAGATTTTTCATTTTATGATTTTTCTATGATTTACTATGATTTTTTCAAAAATTCACCGAAAATAAATAAATAAAATTCAAACCTAACCCGCTTTTACTGTAGCAACCCGCTGTCAAAAACCGCCTGGGGGTAAAATAGACGGTTTTAGAAAGTTCAGGGGGGTAAAACAGACGGTTTCATAGTTGGAGGGTGAAGTAGACCATGTATGAAAGGTGGGGGGTTAAGTAGACTTTTTCCATCAAATTGTGTGTTATGTTAGGGATTGCATGCATCCTGTTTTGATTAATAAATTATAAAGTTTTTTTTCTTTCCCTTATTATTTGGTTTCTTCATTTAAGTTATTTTTGGGATTACTTTTTGCATAAATTTCTTGTTTACTCATACCTATAAATGAGTGCCTACATACTAGGGAAATAACAACAGCAAAAATATATTAAGTTCTATTATATTTTGCAATATCCAGAGGTAAAATGATCATTATGCTAGAGGAGTAAAGATGGAATCCAGTAGAATACATCTTCTCTGGCAACCAATAATTAATGCTTTTTTGCAATATCATCAAGAGGTAAAAGGATCGTTTTTGAAATTGAAAAAAAATAGGCAAACGATCCACATAGGACTCCATATCTATGTTTTGCACTTCTGCGTGTCTTCTTCTCCTCGTCCCCACTATTTTTTTCCATATGGCGCCAAGTGTTTGCCATCCCCATCCTCTGTCCTTGCTATTCCAACCATCCAAAATCCGATCAGCGCATCCTCTACCCTTGCTATATTCCAACCATCCAAACTCCGAAAAGCACCTCCACCATCCCTAGAAAGAGGTAAAATGTTGTCATTCGGCGGCTGCTGACGATGCCTACCGCACTCGTGCGAGCCTAAATTGTCGTCTGACTCGTCGTGCCACCCTCATGCAAGCCCAAGTCATCGTCAGACCTCGTCGGGCGACCGTGAGCGCGATCGCATCAACCTCCTATGGGAGCGTTCTGGGATTCAAAATCTGAAAAAATTTCAGAGCCTACTGAAATGGATGACATTTAGAAATTTAGAAAAATTCAGACCAAGATTTAGCTGTTTGATTGACCAGCAAGAAAAAACATATTTTGATAAAATTTTGCCAAATTTTGACTCAAATTCATTGTTGCCTCCAATTACACAAATGACACTATAATGATTGAATTGCTACACTATCCTTCCTGTCAAAAATTGTATGTAATTTTGAATAGATTATTTGATTATAATGAGTTAATGACCAGCTTAATTGTTTGTTGTTTTGACCATATTGCGGCAAAGATGGTATCAAATATTCTGTTTGTCCCAAAATAAATCAAAATGTACCTAGACAATACATAGCCAGAAGTCATTTCAGACAATATCCTTCAAATATTCTGTCAGTCCCAAAATAACTCAAATGTACCTAAACTGATGTTCTTGGATAGGATATTATACTAGCATCGTTTTCTACAACATTCTTTATCCTCGGCTTTAAATCTTTGAAACCAAAATAATCACAGCACCTATGTCTTATTTTAGACCAAGTATAAACTGAGTATTAAAGCACAAAAGGTATCCATGTAGATATAAAGTTTGAATAAATCAATAGGGAAAGCTTTGACTGTAATAAACTAGCATTATCAGTCCCTCTAGATGGCATGATATGTTGACCAATATGCTTTGTAATAATCTGATTGCTAACAAGTAAATCACTCTTCTCAATCAGTCTTTCATGATTTCTTATGAAAATTTTACTAAAAGAACTGTCAATAATAAATCTATGACCAGATTGGAAAATAGGTAAAATACTTGTAACATTTACCTCCTCAATTATGTTGGAGAAGCATGACGATTGTACGACTTGAATTATATCTTGCTCTGCGCTCTCATAGCCCTCCAAAATTTCTTCTTCTGGATCCTGTGCTCCATCACGTTGTTGTTCCACCTTAAGCCAAACATGGCTCAGCTATGGGCTTTTGTTCTTCATAAGCCGTACTCAGTACAACTATAGATTGCTCCTCTTGATGCTCACCAACAACTTTAGCACGGAACTCATAAGGTAGAAGGTAGGCTCCTTTATTACAGAAAAATCAAGCATCGTTGTTTTGCTACGGTTGCCATGTTTTTGCACGGCCATGCTTGCTTCTTTTAATTCAATAGATTAGGCGCATGCACTGTTTGGTTTGGCTCTTTCAATAATCGAACTACTCTTGTCATCTGAATCACTCTTCTCTTTGATATGTTTATCAACTGTTAATGTTTTTTCCTGCAAAATTCTAGATTTAATCTCATTACAATCTAGATGTTTTTGGCTTCTTTTATCTTTTCAAAAAAGTAACCATAAAACTTATTCATCTGTGCAACAAAGGCATCTGTTCCAACATTGACAAATTGCCCCCAATGTTTTGAGACTCTTTCGGCAAGGAACCATGATGTGTTGCTGACACTTTGCAATGCAATTGTGTGGGAGGCGAATCATTTCCTACACTACTATAGATGAAGGCATATGCATGCCTGCTGAAATTTCACTAATTCGACTATGGTCATAAGTTAAATATAAAGCCGAATCATTAGAATTACCATCCACATATGGCATTGAAAAATTATTAACATGAGGTGTAGCAGATGACGTTTGAGAATAATTGGCTGGATAGGTTGCTGAAATGTGGCCAATTCTCCCATCCATCGGCATGTTTTGAGATGAACTCACATATAAGGGACTAGTTGTAGATGAATAATAAGATGAAACATCCCCTTGCATGCTATTAAAATTCTGGTCATGAGATGTTTGATAAATCTCGTGCTACATTGACCCAATGCTTACATGGCAGGGTAATAACTAATACACATAGAAATTATCCTTCACGTGGAGCATTAGGACTGCCCTTATACATGTGGTTTCAGCAATTTTTACATGAGGTCTTCTGAACATGTGGGATGCGGCTTTATCCTTTTCTCATATCCTAGCTTAGGTAATTGGAACAATAATTTCTGAACAATTGATCTGTCAAGCCAATGGCTCCATGACATATCATTTCTGCCACCACTAGTAATAAAAGGGTTTCTATTCCCGGCTGACAACCCCCTTTATTCTCGGTTACGCAGCCGGGAATAGGAGTTCGGGAATAAAGGGTTAGTAGCCGGGAATAGAAGTGGACCTTTAGTCCCGGTTGGTGATACCAACCGGGACTAAAAAGGTAGCCACGCCAGCGCCTGGGCTGGCCCCTTTATTCCCGATTGGTATTACCAACCGGGACTAAAGGGTCTTTTTTTTTCTTTTCGTGCTTATTTCAATTGATGATTCTTTTTTGTTTTAATTTGGTTTTCGAATACGCATTATTCGCTGCAAAGTAATATACGTATACGCGCGCGTACTGTAAAGTTTTTGCTCGATCAATGCACGCAAGCAACACAAGTAAAAGTAAACTAAAACATAATATTATATTTCATCGTCACATGTAAAGTTTGCATTAATTGTACATTTCATCATCACATGTTTTTTGGATCAATATGAAATTTGGCTTTCATCATCACATATTTGGGTCATAGTAAAACTCGCCGCCGGGAGTTAAGACCTGATCATTCAGAAATCCACCTATTGTCTCTTGGATTGCTTTGAGATGGTGTGTGTCCAGGGTTTTTTCCTTCAACCAACGAGTCTTCAATTTGAGATATGAGATAAAGAAAAAGTATATTAGTATATATATATATATATTTATCAAGAATAATGATAAATAAATTGTATCTATCACGAATATATATATGTATATAAATATATGTATGAAGAATATATATATATATATATATATATACACTTACCCTTTTTTCCTCTAGACTAGTTCTTTTTTTAGCACACTCTTATGAACTCGCAAACATAGTATCCACAGAAATTGGTCCCCTGGGGCTGCCGCAGAACCCACTTTACGAGAAAAAGATTCGTCATCATCTGAGCATAGGGAAATTGAACTAAGGTAGGTATATAGTACTTACTTTGTATAGCACTACTTTTAGTGGCACTTTGTATTTTATATGGTGTTCCTGACAGACCTTTTCCCAACAACTATCAAATAACATAAAAATAATTTGGACCATTAATTTGCATGCATAGAGACTAAAATAGTTTTGCTAGTGAGACTGCAATTACCTTTGAATAATATATATCATCTCTTGGAACTCTTTTTGCTCTTTTCTCATCGAGTCCCAGATGCCTAGATGACCTTTCTCCAGATCGAGTTCCATCAATATCCAGTGTTCACTGCCATGTCCATTAACACTTATTAATTAGCTAACAGGTACAGTGAACATATATATATGGATACACGATCATCGACATTATGA